GGTGTTTTGACCCATAATTTTGAATTACTTTTTTATGCTGAACTCAATGCCGCAATCAGTTTTTTGTTATCAAGCTTTCTTGAATAACTATTACAATTATTTTACTTAAAATGTCAATATTTCAAAAACAAAATATGAAAAAGGAAAATTGATTGCGTCATTGAGTTTAGCATATAAAAGTAATTCAAAATGATGGGTCACAACACCACCTTCATATTTAAAATAATTTATCTCATTTCAAAATGGCAGATCCAATATGGCGGCCGAAAAAATACATCCGTCATAACCAAGTTAAAATAGGTTGACAAAGACTGGTGGTGTATACTTATCTTTATCTAGCACTATTTTGCGATTATGGTCTTAGTTTGTAAATACACAATGTTAAAATAGGCTAAAAATAAAGTTATAAAAAGTGCTCATAACTTTAGAATGGATCGATATTTTTAAAAACCGATTGCAGCATCGTATTCAGTGCAAAAATCTAGTTCAAAACCAAGGGTCACAACCCTACCTTTACATTTGAAAAAAAAACTTTGTATCCAATATGGCGGATCCAAGATGGCGGCCAAAAAATTTTACCCAGTCAAAATGAAGTACTTACTACTCTACAATGATCTGACGTGGTCCGGAGTTGATATCTTAAAAAATGTAGAAAAAAGTAGGGGGGGAACTCATTTAAAACTCACCCTGTATAAATTGATTAGGTTACGATGAAGGTAGCAAAATCACTATCTAGAAATACAGGAAACTAAAAAACATTTAGGCCTTAAACAGCCACATCTAACAATATAAGACAAGATACAGAACATGCAATGACATAATTTGAGACTGAGTAGGCTTGTATAACAACAAAAAATTATGCAAACAACAACAACTATGCTTGTGGTTTCGTCAATAGAAAGATAAAATATCTATAACAAATATTTTAACTTATAAATAAGATTGTAGATTAGTTACAAGTTTAATATGTAGCCATAAAAAGTTTTATGGCAGTAGGCAATGGCCAGCGGCAAATTGAATATTCACGAAAATACTGACTGAGTTAGAGATAACATTTAACAGTCATCATAAAACTATTATTTTTATGATAAAATAGAATTGGGGAAAGTCGTAAAGAAATAAAAGTGATAAAACTCAACAGTTCTTGGAAGTACTTGAATACAACAATTATTGTATGTGATAAAATGCTAATGAATTTGGGACTGCTAATGGGTTTTTTATTGCATCATCACCCTAGTAATAAATTATGAAGATATTAACAAATATCTGATAAGACTTTTATGTGCTTGAAACCAACTGTCGTTGACTACGATAGTAAACTGAAAGTAATTTATTATTATAATAGGCTGTACCGAACCGAATTTGTACCGTATAAAATGCTGTACCGAACCAAGCTTGTACCGTACCGACTTTTTCGGTGCACCGCAGACCCCTACCTACCACCGATAAAATAGTCGGATCTGAAAACGAATAATACCAGATTGAAGTATAATACTGGCTCAATAAGTGGCAAGCGAACAACCTTTCTCGGATAAACCCACATTACATTCCGATTCCACTCTTGGGGTTATGCGACTTGATTTATTTTTTCTTGGGTTTATGAAACACAGTTAGTTTTTGGAGTTATGATCACTTGGGCTCATAAGTACTTGGAAATAAATTGACTGGGTTTTTTGTAGAGGTGTGCGGATATCCGAAAAATCGGGTCGGATTCGGTTCGGTTCGGATATCCATATCCGAACCGAGCCTAAATTTGATATCCGACACTCGTTATATATCTGACTTTTTCGGATAGACAATATATTTTGACGTTTTGGACAGAAACTAAATCTCCATAACCATCATTAGTTTCCCAGGACAAAATTACACAAATACGTTTCCAACGACAACGTTACAGCAAAGGACAAAGAAGCCGTATGATGCAATACCGATGTCTAGTTTATAGTCGTTATCAACGTCGTTATCGGCTGTTTTGCTTTACGATTAGATTCGTCTGGAACAAACAGACGTAAAGCAGAAAAGAACTACCATGGTCAACTCGTGCTTGTCTCCTGATACTAGGGGCGCTATGCGTAATAGTTTTTTTTTTTTTTTACAGTACTGTTTTAAAGTATAAAAATCTAGCCTACTTCTTAGCTGTTACGTAAACAATAGATGTAATGTTTCCCGATAAAAGTCAGAATAGAAACAATAGAAAGGCAACACAATAGAAGGGTGGGAGGGGTTGGGCAATGACCTCGAAAGGAGCCCGGGTAACGGGTAGCAACAGTGAGTCGAGTAGGCCTTGAGGGGGGAAGGGGTGGGTACGACCTTGAAGCTATATAGACTTGCACTACTTCCCTAAATCTATGGAATACCACTCGCCAGTCCTTTAGTTTAAAGCACTGGCGAGTGGTATTCCAATCACAGGACAAGATACGTTGTTTTTTGGGTATTCATTGCCCGGTTTGACTTTGGATTGTCTTATTGTGTAGAAACTTTGAATAATCAAAAATAAAATTAGAACTAACCACGATTATTTAGCATTGATTGTGTATATTAAATGATTAAATGATAGGGACCAGGGGAAATATACAAACTTTTGTCATGATTTGAATTTCAACATCAAAATACAATATTGCATAATCATGATATTTTAGGTCATTGACCTTTATTATGCATCCGGTATTGCTGTTTCAGAAGAGAAGGCACGTTGATTAATTATAAATTGATATTCCCGTGGTTAAAAAAAATTATTTTATAAACTTACAAAACAAAATCATAAAATCTTACATAAAGATAATAACAATAACAGCAATTGTAAAAAGGGTATAAAGATAACAACGTCATTATACTTCCTCTTTGTTCTTCTATTTCTTGGGTGTCCCTTCATCACGCATTCAACAAGCTGCCTAGTTGCCATGGTTACTAATCACCCATGTCGTTATCAGCTTTTGTGACATAGCGCACAGCAGGGGGTAAAACTTGAAGAAAATCGGTTAATTGTTACGTATTATTCAATTACCAATGTACTTTATTGGTACTGTATTAATAAATTGGCCGATTTTTGTCAAATTTTACACAAAATTTATTGAAATTTCAAGGTGAATATCAATAAAACAATTATTACCAAATTTTTTTATTCATTTAAAAGATTGATTTGTGGTATTGGGTTCCCCACTGAGTGCAGCCGAGCTGCACTAATGAGGGGGGGGGGGGTGGACAATAGACGGCTTATCAGACCCGATAAGACCTCCCCAGTGGTCTGGAGAAAGCTTGTAAAAAAACTATTGCCCTAAGATTATTTTAAAATATTATTTTACCTCACTCTAACTCCTAAGACTTTATATTGATGCTTATTGATGTGAAGAAAGTTTTCGAGGTTGTGACTTAGCAAATTTAATTTATCATAGCACCGGCCCTACATCGAGACTCTAACATGTCAAGACTGGTTTGGTTTGCACTAAACAACCCCTCTATGGAATACTTCGCAACTGCCAAGTTATCACTACGTCTTTTACGCAAAAATGTTTCCAGACAACATCCTGTCCCCCGTGACAATTTCTCATCACGGCTACTATTAAAAGGGGGCCTGGGGGCGGAGCCCCCAGCGAGCACAAGGCGAGTTGTTCAATATACAATCCATTTTTAACAAACTAAGATTATACTATTCAAATACAATTTTAAAAATTATCTTGGTATTTTACTTGGGATAATGAAGTTATGTAGGCTAGTGTAATTCTCGGTTCATCAAGGTTCTACTGAATTATGTTTGGCAGTGAATAAGTGTAGAATGAAATTTATAAATTCAGGGATACACACCTTTTACAGAGTTATAAAGCCTAATTGCCCTAATTAACTTGCCACAACATCAAATCTATAGCCCAGCTTAGTGCATTAGTGATGTTTTCTAAACTTGGCAAACCCGCAGAATGCCACTTAAGGCCAATATACCGTTCCAAAAACGTAAGGAAATACAATGTGAAAATAAACTTGAGATAGAACTCCTTGTGAGAACCAGGAAACAACATAAAACATAACCTCAAGTAAACAAGCCCAAATGTTTTGACATCAGTCCTGCTGAGCTAAAGTGTTGTGTGAAGATTTCGGCTTCTAGTGTACTTAATTCAAGCAACCAACTTTTGAAAATAGATGTTGTGAACTGTGATTTTCAAGAGAGAAAAAACTGTCGACGTGGCTAATTTGAAATTCTAATTCTATGATTCAAAATCGTCATTTAATTTTATTTACACAGCTTTACAGTGTTTTATAGGTTAAAAATGCATATGCAGCTTATTATTAACTGCGCCGAACTATCCGAATCCGAAAATATCCGAATCCGAACCTCCCAATATCCGATCCGAACCGAGCCTCAACTATCCGATCCAAATCCGATCCGAAATGAAATTTCACTATCCGCACACCTCTAGTTTTTTGAGAACTTGGTCTTGTTGGCTCATCAGATTTTCGTTGGCTTTTCGTTCGATGACTTGGGGTTGTGAGATGTTGTATTAAAATTATCTTGGGGTTATGATTACTTGGGCTTATATTTACTTGGGTTCTTGGAGATAAATTTACTTGGGGTTATGGGATGATCCCCACCATTTGAGGAATACATGCTCCATTTTTTGTGCCACATGTTAATGTAAATCAAGCTTTAACCAACAGCCTTATCTGGTTGATAAGATGCACTGATGGGTAGACTGAAAATATTAAAAAAAACACAAGGTTTTCAAAACTACTATCTCTTTCTTCATTTGTAGATCCCTTTTTCTAGGTGTAGGAAATAAGACGAAGAACCAATTATGAAGTTCAGTTGTTTTTAATCACTATTACTATTTGTAAAATTACTATACTAAATTGATGATACTAGAATGGATTATTCATGGATGGGAAGTTTCCTATCTCCTCAATTTGGGATTTTCAGCCATCCTAACCAAACTACAAAATTTTTTTGAAATTGTGTTCTTTTACCCTTGCGCTATGTGAATTTAAGTTGTTACATTTTATTGTTTTTCCAGTCCAGTGTAAACCACAACGATATTCCGACTGGAAGATGCCCTTCCAAAGACAACAACAACAAAATAACCTTCCGCCTCAATACCAAAATACTAACCAGGTATGTGTTATGCTCTTAGAGATAATTTTTAAGTGTCCATTGCATTTGATCTATGGTTTTCCTCTCTGAACAGAATATTTTTAGTTACCCAGGTTTTATTCTATGATGAAATGAAAAGAAAATCCTTCTTTAGGTCAAGGTAATATTCTTCCACCGCCACCATCAGTTGGGATCGGTTTCCTATGGATTTGATGGGAAAAGGCATGGAGTTCCATAAGAGGCATGGTGTTACTAAAAATTATTTATTATAAACAGTTGTTCTGTGGTGAGGAATGCGAAGCGTGTACGAGCCAGAGCGGGTGCTTTTTTCATTTAAAAATTTAAAATTCTCTGCAAGATAATTTGGAATTCCACGATTGATGGCTGAGTGAGTAATGGAAAGTATTCGTATTTTCCTGATGTTCTCTAATTTCAAAATTGATTAATTAATGTAATAGTGTTTGACGTGGTCATCACTCAAACAGAACACAAGTAACCGAAAACATTCTCCAACCGGAAACATTTATGAGCGTAAAAAGCAAAATCAGCATGTTACGAAGACGACAGGATCCAGGACCCAGGATTTGGGCTACTACATCAGAGCTCGGTTTCCGAACGGCGACGCGACGTGTGAATACAACAACTCTATAAACTCTAGTGGTCTAGTCTAATGTCTTGGCTGTCTGCTGCGCTCGTCTAGATTGACAACTCAGACGTTAACTCTCGTTACCACGATCATGTGAGATGATAACGATGTTACACAGTCACATCTTGAAATGTTCACCTGATGATAACAATGACGCTGAGATCACGACAAATGTTTATGGTTGTTGTCGATTGCAGGCGGTAATTACTATTGGGATGTGCGATGCAGCAGTTTCATTTTTTATTTGATGCACCGATGTGATTAAGAGAATTTAGATTTGAATTTATGTGATTAGATGCGGCACAGTGGTGATTTGTTTGATCAGAATAATGTTTAACTTTTGTTATTGTAATAAGCAACAAACTAAATGTAAAAAAAAATAATTACAATTTTTATTAGTAAATTTGAAGTTGCTATAACCTTACTTTTATATATTAATCACTGTAGATTTAACGGTAGGAGTGGTAGACAAACACACTCAGAACAACACACACAGAAACACTCAGAATTCAATCAAATATATACTAAATAAGTATTTGTTAGTACAACACGTTTCTAACAATTTTTACAAACTTACTTTTTTCTAACCAAGAACATTTAAGGGAGACCTTATTTATTAAGATGGTTTTCCAGCACCAACAGTTTGGACGAGTGCCTCCATATCAGCCTACAGATGAATGGGCGGGCCTGATGAGTCCGCAAGAAAAGCAATGGCTTGCATCCATCCAAATGCTACAGCTTAACACCCACCAGCCGTTCCGAGACGACTATTATTTTACGGTATTGGTGTTTCCCTTTAGCGAATTTCCCTTCTGGGAAGTAGCTTCCACCTTTTTAGTCCCAAAAATACTATTTTTTTAAATTAGCAAATTTTTTTGGAAGTAGTTAGAGAAGTAGCTCTAGTAAGAGCTTCACAGTGTTTACCGTTTGTCCACATCGAAACAAATGTTTTAAGGCATGATAACTCATGTAAAAGATAACTTATCTATGTATGGGTCTGTGGTATACTGAAAAAGGTTTGGTTCTGGTCTAATTACTGCCATCAGCATTTTACCGGTACAAAGGTTCAGCCTATTATTATATTAAATTACTTTCAATTTACTATCGTAGTCAATTTGGTTTAGAGCTCATAAAAAGGTTTGTTTACGATTTTCATAGTTTATAACTTGGGTAATGATGCAAGTAAAAACTCATTAGCAATCCCGGGTCCATTAATTTTTACGACAATAATTTTTGTACTCAAGTACTTCAAAGAACTCTTAAATTTTATCACTTTTATTCCTTACCACTTCCATTATTTATTACTAGCGTAATACTATGAGATCCCAAACCAAATTTATCATAAAAATATCAGTTTTATAATGGCTGTTAAATTTCACCTATAACTCAGTCAGTATTTTCGTGAACATTCAATTTGCCGCTGTCCATTGCATACAGGCCTACTGGTAGTTTTTTGTTGGTTTTATAAAACTGTCATTGCATGTTCTGTATCCTTGTCTTATATTGTTGTCTTTTCAGGTTGAAATGTTTTTTGTTTCCTATATTTTTGTTATTTTTTTATTTAGTTTATATTTTTCTTGTACTTTATGCTTTCAGAGTTTCAGAAAAAGCTTTGCAACAGTTGTATCCATCGTATAATTCGTTTGGAAGCTGATAAAAAAGATGCTCTATGCCATTACTTCATCATAACCTCCAGTTTTTCATTGTCGTCTGTTGAATGTGAACAGCTGAAAACTAAACTGTCTTCTTACTGAAAACATTGATATGTTTTAAAAGTAAAAAAAAAGAAACAACCAAATATTATGTTGATTTGGCAAATTGTTGCTTCCAAACATGTTTATTCCTAAAAATTCTTAACCTAACCACTTTATGGCTATGACCATAATCTTATCTATTCTAATCCAACTTTTAGTTTCAGAAAAAGCTTTGCAACAGTTGTATCCATCTTATAATTCGTTTGGAAGCTGATAAAAAAAGATGCTCTATGCCATTATTTCATCATAACCTCCAGTTTTTGTTCTGTATCCTTGTCTTATATTGTTGTCTTTTCAGGTTGAAATGTTTTTTGTTTTCTATATTTTTGTTATTTTTTATTTAGTTTATTTTTTTGTTGTACTTTGTGCTTTCAGAGTTTCAGAAAAAGCTTTGCAACAGTTGTATCCATCTTATAATTCGTTTGGAAGCTGATAAAAAAGATGCTCTATGCCATTACTTCATCATAACCTCCAGTTTTTCATTGTCGTCTGTTGAATGTGAACAGCTGAAAACTACACTGTCTTCTTACTGAATGCATTGATATGTTTCAAAAGTAAAAAAAAGAAACAACCAAATATTATGTTGATTTGGCAAATTGTTGCTTCCAAACATGTTTATTCCTAAAAATTCTTAACCTAACCACTTTATGGCTATGACCATAATCTTATCTATGCTAATCCAACTTTTAGTTTCAGAAAAAGCTTTGCAACAGTTGTATCCATCTTATAATTAGTTTGGAAGCTGATAAAAAAGATGCTCTATGCCATTACTTCATCATAACCTCCAGTTTTTGTTCTGTATCCTTGTCTTATATTATTGTCTTTTCAGGTTGAAATGTTTTTTGTTTCCTATATTTTTGTTATTTTTTTATTTAGTTTATATTTTTGTTGTACTTTATGCTTTCAGAGTTTCAGAAAAAGCTTTGCAACAGTTGTATCCATCTTATAATTTGTTTGGAAGCTGATAAAAAAGATGCTCTATGCCATTACTTCATCATAACCTCCAGTTTTTCATTGTCGTCTGTTGAATGTGAACAGCTGAAAACTACACTGTCTTCTTACTGAATGCATTGATATGTTTTAAAAGTAAAAAAAAAGAAACAACCAAATATTATGTTGATTTGGCAAATTGTTGCTTCCAAACATGTTTATTCCTAAAAATTCTTAACCTAACCACTTTATGGCTATGATCTTATCTATGCTAATCCAACTTTTAGATTCAGAAAAAGCTTTGCAACAGTTGTATCCATCTTATAATTATTTTTGAAGCTGATAAAATAGGTGCTCTTTGCCATTACCTCATCATAACCTCCAGTTTTTCATTGTCGTCAGTTGAATGTGAACGGCTGGCAACTACACTGTCTTTTGTACTGAATGCATTGATATGTTTTAAAAGTAAAAAAAAACCAAATACGTTGATTGGAAATAATTTATAAACTGTGTGAAATTCCCTTGTCTAATGGTAATAATAATAATTGTCGTTAGAAAAGAAGAAAACTGCACAAATACTGGCACGTAGTGTACCGGTTTTATACCGAGAACCGAGGTACAATATTTTGTACCGTACCGACCTTGAATTTTCTGTACCGCAGACTCCTAGTGTAAAGCAACATGTATTTGAACCAGTTAGAACCCAAACAGGATAGACATATTATAAAATTGTTCTATAAGTTAACTACAGATGAAACAAAGCAATGAGAATTTTAAATCATTGATAGCAGCCGCTTTAATGAACTGTTATATGTCTGGCAAGTATTCTTTTATCAGCCACATGAGAAGGGGTATAATAAGAGATGGATAAGTAACATACCTCAAGGACCGAATTGGCTGTATTGCAATTTAATAATTGTTATTATCAGCAACTTAAACTAAATATTGTCTTTATCATCAGCATCGTCTACTTTTTTACTCATCATCGTTATCACCTTAAAAAGTTGTGACTGATATTTTAAACTCCTAACTATTAGTAGCATATCTGTGTTGTATTGGTTTTATGTATTGTTTGCTTATTTGTTATTTTTAGCTGTTGTATTTCCTAAATTGATTGTAATTTACATGGAAGTTTTGTTTATTTAAACTGTTAACCGAAAGCGTTGACATTAAACAAACAAAGAGCCTGGGATCCAGTGCTCGTAGGTATTTTAAAGCCTTGTTTAAAATACCTTATGGACCAGAAGAATTCCCTGGAATTGTTATTTGTACAATATCCTTCAGCCTTTTTTAACTCATTTTTTAAACAGTTTCTTTTAGCCGACCTCAAAGTCTTGTTTGTGGTCTTATTTATTCTGAAGTATTTTTTCCCTTTCACTTGGGTATACCTGTATAATTAGTTCTTCCTTAGCTTTCTTTCTTTCCTCAATCATTTGCCTACTATCTTCATTGACCAAGTTTTGGGGCTTTTTCTATTCTTTTGGAAGCCACCTATTGCTCAGCTGCTTCTTAAACTGATTCTCAAATTATTTTACATTTGTCCTCTATATTTGTCTATTTTCTTTTCTCCTTTATCCAATACTTGAATTGAAACCAATTTGTGAGTTTGAGATTAGGCTAAATTTCTTAATAATTGACATTTGGGTTTTCAAGTTTTCTCAGATTAAACTTTTGTGTTTTGTTTTTCCCTTCTCTCTCAGCATAGTTTTGCCATACTTTTACTATCACCAAGTTATGGTTGTCCCACATTCAGCACCCCTCTTTCTTTTGATATCCATGATGCAGCTTTTATGTCTGTCCTCGGTCAACACATAAACAATTTGATTTTTCACTTGTCCATTTGGGGAAACCCATGTGACCTTGTGAATGTTTTTTTCCTATGGAAAGTAGTTAACATGATTTCAAGGATGTTGAGCTTGCAAAACTGGTAAGCTTCATTATATTTTTATTTGTTGTTTTGTGTAAACTATTACACCCATACTGTTTCTAGCCTGGCTCATTCCCTAATTTCGAATTTGCATCACCTAATATAATTTTTACATCATAGTCTGAGATCCTTGTTGTCAGCTGGTCTAGGTTGTCATAGAAAAGGTCTTTCATGTCATCATCTGTAACCAACCCCTGTATGTGCACGAAACAAATTACAGATATGTTTTGAAATTTTCATTTCAGTCTTATACGGCACAGCCTTTTTATTCACTGGTTCAAAATTGAGATTGAGTCTATTGGTATCTATATATAAAGCCAAAAGTACCCATGAACTTTTGACGGCAATTACTATGCAGGCGAGGAATTGCTATTAGAAATCACAGCCACTGTATTAAAGCGTGCAATTCTTTAAGTTTAACTTGCCATTAAATGGCAATCTTGTCTTTTGGAGACCTACTAAATTTAAATGGTAACTATCTAATTTATTCGTGACTTGGATCAAATTTCCCTGGTATTGCTAAGGGTTCAAACATTCCATGATCCAAAACTCAAATCCTTAAAACTAAGCTTGGGTCTGGTTCCTGATATCTGTCCTTATCCGAGGCTTGTTGGCGTTTCTAAACAGGATGTTTTTCCAGTGCAAGGTTGTCAGCCTTGCGCCCAACCTCCAACCTGGAGGACCAGGAGATTGTGATCGTAGTCCTCTTCTCTTAGACCAATCGCTTTCACTTCAGCCGCAAGACCATGGTGTTACATCAGAGTGTCCTTCTTCTAACCTTTGGGTACCCAACCCTATCGTGCAAGGCAGTACGGGCAGTGCTTATTTGATTGTAACACTTCCCCGCCATGTCACAGCACTATCATCGGGCTTATGTAGACTTTGCTGAGTGTGACCCTACCACAGGTTTCCCTCCTACGCCCTCTAGTGCTGCCACCTATTCACCGAATAGTGCTGACTTTTCGGACAACCTCTGATTAACAGCTGTCCACCATATCTGATGGAAGGTTTGCTATCCGCCAACTGCGACCCGCCCTGTATCTGAAGTTTGGATAGGGCTGACACTATCATATGCTTTGTGAAAATCTATATACAGTAAATGGAAATTATTATTTTATTCCACATATTTTGAAAGAGATTGCTATTTTGAAAGAATATTTGGTCTGTTGTTCAGCATTGCTGGGCAAAACCAGCATGTTGGTTTTGTATATTTTCCTTGTATGTACGCATAATTTCTTACCAACTTTGCCATTTGTACTCCAGTAATTTAAAATTATTTTTGGTCAAACTGTATTCACAGAGCTCAAGAGAAACCCCCATTTGAAGATACAAGATTCTGTTTTATATCCTTTCTAATCTATGGGAGTTACCTAGTATCTACACTTTGTTCCAATTATCAGGCATAAATTCATTCCTCCGTACTTCCAAAATTAGTTTATGGAGATCACTCTAAAGTGCATTCCCTTCAACTTTGAGGATCTCAGTAGGTATGTCTTCATTCCCTGGGGCTTTATCATTACTAAACTGTTTCATAGCTTCGTATGCTTAGATTAAAGTCTGTTCACCTGTTTCGGGTTGCACATAATGACAAATCTCATTTTGCTCCTCAATAACCTTTTTTGTATGTATTTCAAAACTTAAAGAAGTACTGTTTCCAAGGTATTCCTTGAAACTCTGCCCTCGATTCACATGATGCATTGATGGCTAGGTTCCTATTTATGTCTTTGGGTTTTGAAGTAAAGCCTTTCTTGAAAAACATCACTTGCCTTCATTTTGCTTATCTCAACTGGCCAGAGACATACTTTACTTGAAGACATACAGAATGGATTCTCCATTCTTGAACTTACTTTGTATTTTCTCATAAAACTAAATAAACATTATGTATAAAAACATTTTATAATTATGTGGATTTTTTAGGTCTACCAGCAGAGACACGGAAGCGGCAAGAAGATTGCAGGACCCCCCAACCAGAAAAGGGATAACCTGGGGATTGCTCCCCAGAAGCAAAATACCTACACACCCCTTCAGTTTGAGAACTCCCTGGGGAAACTGCAGGTCTGTATTTTTTTCTATTCGATTACTTAATCAAATATAGTTCATCAGTTATGTATGTTTTACTCTTGCTTTCAGGATTTACTCTTTAACACGTTCAGTGCGAGGGCGGGAATTCTTGCCCCGCGGTACTGGCGCCACTGGTGCAGGGCGGTAAATCACAACTTTGCTTCAATGTGAGCTCAGCCATTGCCGGGGAACGTTGTAATTGTTGCCAGCCTATAGCGTAGAATGCGAGGTTTGATGTAGGTTGGTACTAAACATTCTTGTAAAATCCCGTCTGGCGATGCTTTTGTCCCGTTTTTGGGGATTTTCTCTATTCAAGCCATATTACAAAGACTCTGGTTATTGATCCAGGCAGTGCTGCTACCTTTTGGTGTTTTAGTGAACTATGTCCACTTTCCGGGTAACGCAGAACAATCACCACTGCTCTTTGGTGATTCGTCTTACTGAGATATTTCAATGCCAACAGCGATCGCTGATTCAGTTAGCGTGTCGGGGCTCCGCCCGCAGTTTAGGAGCGCCTGTGTTAAGGTTATTTAGCAGTGAACGTGTTAAGAGAGATTTAGGTATTCAACCTTACCTTTTGATCCTCAGACAGTGTTACCCGTTTATGCATGCATCACTACTCTTTTTTAATGCACTTTCCACACCAGCATTTAGTCAGGAAAACAGCTGTCGGCTGCCTGCTTAATCTAACGGGATTTTATTACTTGAGGAAACTTAACAAAAATAGTCCAATAACACTTGAAACACATATACTCTTTATTTTTAGGACGATTATACAAAATGGTATAAGTAGGCCTAATGATCTTTTTGATTGGAAAATTTAATTATCATTAAACTCAATAGGCGAACGAATGTAGGCCTAAATATATGTTTCAGTTTTTAGACGATTTGGATTTACTTTCTGTAAATGTTATTACATTAGTTAGAACTTAATTACAGTGGGCCTACAAGTTATTTTGAGTTTTACTGTTGACATTAAACGTAAACTACGCAATTCGTGTTCGTGTAGCAAACATAACATTGCAATCGGAAATTTTAGTATTATTTTCATTGATGCCATAAAATATAACTATTGACACACGATTATAATCTCATTACAGTGTTAAGATTGCTTATATTTAGGGTCTATAGCTTTATCTTCGTATGTGGTTATTAGTGTGGTGATTAAATTTCTTACAATCTAAAATTACGTTTTTCATACACACGCTACTACATAAGCAGATGGTTTATTGTTTTACAGTATCTTATATCTTTGGTTTATTGCTGTCAGTCAAAATAACCTTTTAACGCTGCTACTCATGATTCTTCCCATTTTATCTTTTTCTCTTAGCTATCTTTAATCTATCTGTTAGCGTGACGTATCTAGGCTACGTGCGAGTGCGGTTGCTCGTGATTTTTTTTAAATGTATTTGTTATATTCTAGAGTGACATATCAACATTTATACACTGTAAATAAGAAATACGGGCGATGAAAGTTCGGCGTGGTAATATTTATTTACTTAGAAAACGGAAACATTGCGCAGTGTAACACTGGTAAGGCCAGTTTAAAACATTAAAGTACTCAACGAGGAGACTTCTCGCTCATTTAAAATGGCTAAAAAGTAAAAAATGATCCCGAAAATGAAGGCTATACTGTGTTCTAACTGAGAACAATATTAGATGGGGGAGTCTTGAATTTTTATTCACCCTGTATGGACACAGATAATCTTCTTGTATACAGACATTGGGTATTTTACCTGTAGAGTTTCACATACCCGGCTATCAGTACTGTGGACCTGGAAAAAAATTTAAGAAAGAGATAAGCAAGGGGCAATCCAGGCATACAAGACAGATTTTTCCCGATTTTTTTACTAACACAAAGCTGTCTGTATCCATGTACAAGACCAATTAACCCACGGCGGTAAAAATTATTACTGGTGGAAGTGCATATGCCCGGCTATCATTACTGTGGACCTGGAACTAAATTCGGCGGTAAACATTATTACCGGTGGAAGTGCATATGCACGGATATCATTACCGTGGACTTGGAACAAAATTCGGCGGTAAAAATTATTACCGGTGGAAGTGCATATGCCCGGCTATCATTACTGTGGACCTGGAACTAAATTCGGCGGTAAACATTATTACCGTCGGAAGTGCATATGCACGGATATCATTACTGTGGACCTGGAACTAAATTCGGCGGTAAACATTATTACTGGTGGAAGTGCATATGCCCAGCTATCATTACTGTGGACCTCCAACAAAATTCGGCGGTAAAAATTATTACCGGTGGAAGTGCATATGCACGGATATCATTACTGTGGACCTGGAACAAAATTGAAAAAACGGCTATATACAGTACTGTGTATTTGCTCGACTCTCAATTGTCCAGATTTTTTGTAATCCGGACCGGACGCTGGTCCCATTAGTCCGGATGAGCGTACATGGATACAGACAACTTTGTGTTAGTAAAAAAGTGGGGGTAAAATCGGTCTTGTACATGGATACGGACAGCTTTGTGTTAGTAAAAAAAAATCGGGGACAAATCCGAAAAAATCGGATCCATCAAAACCGGATCCAGCCCAAGATCGGGAATTTTTTGGATCCAATCGGGTTCTAGCTCAGATCCGGCGGACCTGGTAGTCCAATATCCGGATCCGACCATCACTAATTGTAATGAACACCTATACAGAAGCCAAGCTACCTAAAATTAGGGTTCAATTCCAGCCCATACACATTTAAATTTCTGATATGGGGTACAAATCCAGGGGTAGTACAATTCCGGGCCGTTCATCTCCTGTTCTTTTTAATTTCTAATATAATATCTGGTTAACTGATCACTGAAGGTATTTGTATTTTGACAATGACACCTGTTTTATAGCATTTCTATATTTTATAAACATAATGTGACAATAAAGATTTATTTATTTTATTTACTTGCCTACATTAAATCAATTAAATTCTGTTATAATCCATGTGCACAAGCAGGAATTGTAGCCCTAGGCGTGACGTTAAATTGCCTTCGATGATCAGCAGAAGTCAGAGGGTACAATTCTAGCGATGCCCCCTAGCTCTTCTTCCTTTTTTACTTTCTCCCCCTATACCATAGTATATGGAGAAAGTATTGTTTTCGTCAAAATTTTTGAGTTTGAGTTTTGAGTGGATATATTCGTTTTGGGTCCCCAAAAAAGTGGTTTTCGAAGTGATGTCTGTGTGTGTGTCTGTGTGTCTGGATGTGTACAGAGCTAGGGACTACACCTGTGGTCCGATTTTGATGAAATTTTGATTGTTAATGGGGATTTTCCTATAAAAACCCATATAAAACCGGAATAATCGGATTTTCTCAAAAATGGCTCGAACGATTTTGATAAAAATTTAGTATGTTGTAGCCCTTTGAATTCTAAACAAAATGGTAAAATCCCATTTCTGTAAAAATTACGGTTCAAAAGTTATTGTAAATTGTGTTATTTTCCCATAAAAACCCCCATAAAACAACAAAAAATAGGACTTTATAAAAAAAATCCGATTTTGATTTAACATAGTATGTTATGGTCCTTACAATTTTGATAGTTTTCATTTTTTAGAAATTTTGAATTTTAATGGGGATTTTCCTATAAAATAACGAAAAAATCGGACTTTCCCAAAAATAGCCTAAACGATTTTGATAAAAAATTAGGATGTTATAGTCCTTTATATTCTGAACAAAATGGTACAAATCCTATTTCTGTAAAAATTACGGTTCAAAAGTTATTGTAAATTATGTTATTTTCCCATAAAATAACGGAAAAATCAGATTTTTCCAAAAATGGCCTGAACAATTTTGATAAAAATTTAGTATGTTATAGTCCTTTAAATTCTGAACAAAATTGTACAAATCCCATTTCCGTATATTTACTCTCACCGCTTACACATAATAAAGGTTGTTGACAAACTTATGGGAGCAAGTATGTGTCAGAATGCTGATACCGTTTATTTTATTTTGTTCAGATTTTTAATTTCATCACCTTTAACAATTAATTTATCTTCTAATTCTAGCTCATAATTATTTTGAATTTTGTACATTATGTAAAGTTCGCTTTAACTCCTTATTGACACGGAGAATTGCACTTCCTATATCAATAGCTAAAGTGAGATAATTTTCAAGGTCATCATTTTACTGGTTTCATCTTCCTCATCTCCTGATTTTAAACATGTAGTACACTGCCATTGCCTCATTGTACGTACCTAAGGTGGTACAGGTCTTTACAGTGACCATTGCAAAATATAGCTCCAAAGGTAGAAGTTTTCTCACATAACCATACACTAATTCTTAATTAGTTTGAAAAAAAATTGTTCTTAATTTTTTTAATTCAAAATAAATTTAATTAGTTAAGTTTTGATTTTTACAAGTATAAATTATAAATTAGTTAATAAATGAAACTGTCAAACAAATGAGTTATTAAATTAATTACTTTGAGTTGTTTGTAAAAAAAGATAACCTAGTGACAGTTTGATTTCCAAAGGAAGAATTCAAACGATCAAAATGTGGGTTATCTTCAGTAGATTAGCCGACAATGTATTGAAAAAACTCTCAGAGTTGAGCAGGAATGATATACTTAGTACTCTTGATTGAAAAACCAAACTAATAATTTAAGTTTACGTGAGTGTTCAAGTTAAAACTATGTTAGTGCATTTCGTAAACGTTATTTACTTTCAAAGCACACAGATTTATTAGCCAAACTGATTTAGTACCCAACTACACCATTTTGAATCTATATAAAAAATTAATGAATTACCTTATAATAAAATGGCTATAAATGCATTATGGTATTGATGCATTATGTTTAGGGGTCTGCGGTGCACCGAAAAAGTCGGTACGGTACGGTACAAGCTTAATTACCGTCATCGGTTCGGTACAGCATTTTACACGGTACAAATTCTGTTCGGTACAGCCTATTATAATAATAAATTACTTTCAGTTTACTATCGTAGTCAACGGCAGTTGGTTCCGAGCACATAAAAGTCTTATCAGATGTTTGTTTAGATCTTCATAATTTATTACTAGCGTGATGATGCAATAAAAAACCCATTAGCAGTCCCAAATCCATTAACATTTTATCACGACAATAATTGTTGTATTGAAGTACTTCCAAGAACTGTTGAGTTTTATCACTTTTATTTCTTTACGACTTTCCCCAATTCTGTTTTATCATAAAAATAATAGTTTTATGATGACTGTTAAATGTTATCTCTAACTTAATCAGTATTTTCGTGAATATTGAATTTGTTGCTGGCCATTGCCTACTGCCATAAAACTGTTTATGGCTACATATTAAACTTGTAACTAATCTACAATCTTATTTTATAAATTAAAATATTTGTTATGGATATTTTATCTTTCTATTGACGACCATGGATATATACAAACTTTTGTCGTGATTTTAATTTCAACATCAAAATACAATATTGCACAATCGTGATATTTTAGGCCATTGACCTTTATTATGCATCCGGTATTGCTGTTTCAGAAGAGAAGCACGTTGATAAATTATAAATTGATATTCCCGTAGTTAAAAAGAATTATTTTATAAACCTATAAAACAAAATCATAAAATCTTACATAAAGATAACAATAACGGAAATTGTAAAAAGGGTATAAAGATAACAACGTCGTTATTCTTTCTCTTTGTTCTTCTATTTCTTGGGTTTCCCTTCATCACGCATTCAACAAGTTGCCATGGTTACTAATCACCCATGTCGTTATCAGCTTTTGTGACATAGCGCACAGCAGGGGGTAAAACTTGACGAAAATCGGTAAATTTTTACCTATTATTTAATTACCAATGAATGTACTACTTTATTGGTATTTGGTATTGTTAATAATCGGTCCAAATGGCAGATTTTTGTCAAATTTTACACCAAATTTATTGAAATTTCAAGGTGAATATTAATAAAACAATTATTACCAAATATTTGTATTCATTTAAAAGATTGATTTGTGGTATTGGGTTCCCCACTGAGTGCAGCCGAGCGGCACTAATGAGGGTGGACCTTCTTGGGGGTGAACAATAGATGGCTTATCAGACCCTCCCCTCCCCCGTGGTCTGGAGAAAGCATGTAAACAAACTATTGCACAAGCGTGACTTGACATTGAGCTGCTTCAACTATAATTTTGTCAAATGAACTGTGATGTTTCAAAATCAAAAACAATAATTTGGGACCATACTGCTTAACAATAATGGACTGCAATTATTGTTGAACATACAATCCATTTTTAACAAACTACGATTCAAATACAATTATAAAAATTATCTTGGTATTTTACTTGGGGTAATGAAGTTATGTAGGCTAGTGTAATTCTCGGTTCATCAAGGTTCTACTGAATTATGTTTGGCAGTGAATAAGTGTAGAATGCAATTTATAAATTCAGTGATACACACCTTTTACACAGTTATAAAGTCTAATTGCCCAACACCAAATCTTACTCTGTGATAATCCAAATTTTAGTTTCAGAAAAAAACTTTGCAAGAATTGTATCCATCTTATAACTTAATAGTTTTGAAGCTGATAAAAAAAATGGTCTTTGTCATTACTTCATCATAACGTCCAGTTTTTCATTGTCATCTGCTGTGAACAGCTGGCAAAACTACCTACACTGTCTTCTACTGAATGCTTTTATATGTTTTTAAAATAAAATAAAAAACAACTAGACATTGTGTTGGTTTGAAATGATTTACCAGTTTTGTGAAATTATCTTGTCAATAAATGTTTCAAACATGTTTATTCATAAAAACTCTTATCCTATTTTTAAACTACTTTATCATGGCTATTCAAAGTATCTCAGAGTAAAATAGGTAAAGCCTTTATCTCAACTGTGATTTTTCTTGACACAATCCTCGTAGTAGTAAAAGGTTTTGTTTTAATAATATGTGGTACAGTAATTGTTGTTAGAAAACCATGAGTGTAGGATACTATCCATTTTCATAGTAATGTCTATGTATTAAAGTTAAAAATAATGGTTTAGATACAGTTCTGAGAAGAAAACCGCAAAAATACAGGTAGCCGGGTACCGTACCGATTTTGTACCGAGAACCGAGGTACAAAATATTGTACCGTACCGAACCGTACCGACCTTAAATTTTCTGTACCGCAGACCCCTAATTATGTTTGTGCTAAAAAATGTGTTCCCTTGTAATAAAATGGTTATAAATGCATTATGGTATTAATGCATTATGTTTGTGCTCATAAATGTGTTCCCTTGGTATATATATATTACTACTATTTACAGATTGGGAGTGTCACAGCGCCGAGGAAGATCATTGACATGGTCTACCTTGATATGATAGACAGTAATACAAAGCAGCAAAACGAGAGAAAATCAAAAGCAATTTTGATGGAGATTGAAAAGGTAGAGTAATTTTAAATTATGAAATCTCAAATTTAAAAAATTGCGGTGAGAAGAATTTTTTTTTGTATTTACATTATACTTTTATTATAGAAAGTCATCAGGCTGCTTAGGGGCTAATATGTTTTTTTTTCATATGGGTAAGACTTTGTCACTTTCTAAGTATTCATAAACTGATTTTACTCAATTTAGTATCACTTATGGAGCTAGCTGGTCTCCTAAATTTGGATTTGATATTCATTAATGGATCATGGGGTGAAGCTAAATGTGGATAAATGATACATTATTTGGTACTTTGGTATTATGCAGACCAATCAGATAAATTGACTTCCAAATAAGATTTTAATTAGTTTAAATAACAAAATCTTCCTAACCTACCTAATCTAACATAATTATTAGGTGTGGTCAGTATAATACCACAGTACCCATTATTCACTTTCCTTATACAATTTAACAACCTTTATACCCACCTCTAAGGTTGGTGGGATAGGAATAAGTATTCTTTATTTTTTACCATTGACATAGTATCGCAATAGTCAATAATCCATTATCTAACAATAGCCATCAGGTTAAAACATTAACAAGTCCAAACTTGCTCTAACTAAAATACACTCCCCCTCCCCTCCCGATAAAATCTTATATTGAGTGAAAGGGATTGTTTAGTAGCAATCGACGACCTTGAACGAATGTAATACTGTCAAGCTTTTTGATGTCGTATTAAAAACTAGACTCAATTTTTTCATACCAAGTTCATAGTCTAAGTAGGCTATATCCCAATTTATAGTATTGTCCTGAAACAGACGCATGTTTCCATAATCCACTAAGCTTCATCTTATTCAGGCTTTAATTATATCTGCATTTGACTACTTTCCCCTTTTTATGGCAATGTTGTACTTTTCCCCTTCGTGGGACATGAGTAGAGTGTAGAAGGTTCAAACTATATTCATAAGGTTTGGACTATGCATGTATGACCATTAGTTGGCTGCATAACAAGAGGTGGGAATATTACAAGGGATATATGGGTCCCGATATTCCAGGAAGTTTTCGGGAAAAATATGTTCCCCATCATCAGGATTGGATTTCATTTGATTCGGGATTTTCTCATGACGGGATTCGTTCTGATCCAGGGTGTCCACAGACCAGGAAAACCGGGAATTATGCGTGAGTTTTGTATTTAACCGGGAATTTTTTGCCGCGGTCACGCTTGACGACGATGACGTATCCGTGACCGCAGGAAACGACGATGACGTTTCCGTAACTGCGGGAGACGACGATGACGTTCCCGTGATCGCGGAACACGACGATGACGTTTCCATGACCGCGGGTGACGACAACGACGTTTCCGTAACCGCGGCAGACAATGACGAAATTTCCGTGACCGCGGGAGACGACGATGACATTTCCGTGACCGCGAGAAACGACGATGGCGTTTCCGTGACCACGGGAGACAACAATGATATTTCCCTGACCGCGGGAGACGACGATGACGTTTTCGTGATCGCGAGAGACGATTATGACGTTTTCGTGACCGCGTGTGACGACGATGACGTTTCCGTGATCGTGCATGCGGACGATGACATTTCCGTGACTGCATGAGACGATGATGATGTCAAAACGGCCCCGGGATATCTATCTATCTATCTAACAGGGGCAGGTAAAGACCTTAAAGCACTTCATTCGATATCGAATGATTGCGCACCCCAGACAATTATTTTCTTGTTGACCTTACAAGTTAAGGCGTCCAATGAATGCCTGTAACTTCCCGATAAGTTCATCCTCGGGAAGATATTTTCCTCTAGCCAGATTACCAAGAGTTGTCATTCTAGCAGCAGAGAGCTCGTTACAATCAAAGAGTAGGTGATCGGCTGTCTCTTCCGACCTATCACAGTGCCTACAGATCGGTTCACCATCAAATAAGCCCATCCGTTGTAAATGTTTCCTGAATCTCCCATGACCAGTTATCAGTTCTACAGTTAGTTTGATTCTCCGTATATCTAGTCTCAAGAGGTCGGAGGCAACCTTTTTGGAAGGCCTAAACAGAGTAAGCTTGCTGACCCTAAGAAAGGGAGTATCGACCCAGCGTTTACTATGCTTTTCTCTGGCCCATGACGCAATCGAAGAACATGCGCTGTTTCGTGAAATGCCACAAAAGGGTTGTGGGCCTATCATGGTTGTCGCAGAGGCAGTGTTTGCCAATCTGTCTGCAGCTTCATTACCTTTTATACCTGAGTGTCCTGGCACCCATCAGAGTGTAAGATCATTACTCCTACCCAACTCAGACACAGAAGCAAGGCAGCCCCACACGAACCTAGACTTGAATTCGTAAGAGTTTAGTGCTTTTAAGGTTGCTTGACTATCAGTATAGTATATTGATTGTTTTGTCTCTGATCTCATTATTAAGATGTTCACGAGCACAAACCAAGGTGGCAGTGACCTCCGCTTGAAAAACAGTTGGGTACATCCCCATGGGAAGATAAATACCCGTGCCTTCGTTTATCCAGTGCACACCTGCTCCAGTACCCCCATCTTTGATCTTTGATGCCATCAGTGTAGCATTCTAAATCACCCATAGGGATGGGCCCTTTCCCGCCAGACCAATCTTCCCTGTCTGGTATTACGACGATGACGTTCCCGTGATCGCGGAACACGACGATGACGTTTCCGTGACCGCGGGTGACGACAACGACGTTTCCGTAACCGCGGTAGACGATGACGAAATTTCCGTGACCGCTGGAGACGCGGATGACATTTCCGTGACCGCGAGAAACGACGATGGCGTTTCCGTGACCATGGGAGACAACAATGATATTTCCCTGACCGCGGGAGACGAAGATGACGTTTTCGTGATCGCAAGAGACGATTATGACGTTTTCGTGACCGCGTGTGACAACGATGACGTTTCGGTGATCGTGCATGCGGACGATGACGTTTCTGTGACCGCATGAGACAATGATGATGTCCAAACGGCCGCGAAATATATTAGTGATTTTGCTGCGATCGCGCATGTGGGCGATGACGTTTCCGTGACCGTGGGAAACGATGATGACGTTTCCGTGACCGCGGGAGACGAAGATGACGTTCCCGTGACTACGGGAGATGGCGATGACATTTCCGTGACCGCGGGAGACAACGATGATATTTCCGTGACTGCAGGAGACAATGACGACGTTTCCATGAACACGGGAGATAACGATGACATTAACGCGACTGCGGGAGACGAAGACGACGTTTCCGTGACCGCGGGAGACAACGATGATATTTCCGTGAGGGTGGGAGACGACGATGACGTTTTCGTGACCGCGGGAGACGACGATGACGTTTCCGTGACTGCGGGAAACAATGATGATGTCCAAAAATATTGCTTGATGATGATAACTGCGGGAAATGATTAGAATTAAGCTACGATAGAGGAAGACTATGGTAACTTTACTGTGATCGCGGGAGACGATTATAATGTTTCCGTTACCGCTGAACAATATCAGGATTTGTTCACGACCTCGGAAGACAGTGGTGATGTTTCTGTTACTGAGTGAGATATTCAGGACTTTTCAGTTATCGGATAAAACGATGATGGTGTCTATTATTATTATTTCTGTAGGCCACTTGGAAAACAACCCATTACTTCAAAATTATACCATATGAAAGTGCATAAAGCCAGGGGTTGGTGAAAAAAGTTGGGTAAAATTGAAATTATCAGTATTAAGAATCTATTTTTCAGGTGTCTGTACAGAGATTCGATAAATTTTGGTATCGACATATCACTATTTTTAGGAAGTTATTAATAAATTGCAGGTTTAAGGATTACTTTTTAATTTTTGGATTATTTAATCAGTAGTATATAACAATTGAATACTTTTGTCAGACAATATTACAGCAATCATAATTTTTTTTCTTTAACTGAGAATACTCTTTCCGATAGCTAAAATACCGAGCTGTGTTAGCTCTAAAACAGCATTGCGGGAGTTGGCACAAAACACGTTGGAAACTTTAGTATGAAAAGTACGACCTGAACTACCTGGAATTTTTTGTTTTTACTCATGAATTACTGATTTTTTCTGGTTGGCCTGGTGGACACCCTGTGATCGTCGGTGATTTTGCCGTGTCACAACTGATGATGGTGACATCCCACTATGGAAAAAATATTCCCGATTTTCGGGACGGGATTACTTTTGATTCAGGAATTTTTCGGGAAGGGATTTGATCCGATCGTCGGTGATTCTGCCGCTTCGCGAGTGACGATGACGCCGCTATTGCGAGAGATGTTCACGATAGTTCCGCGAACGCAGTAGGCAAAGTCATTTCGACGATCGTGCCGTGAACGCGGAGTCATAACGACGATCCCGCCGTGACCGCGAGTCATATCGACGATCACGCCGTGACCGTGAGCACAGAAAACATACTACTATAACCCAGAATGCTAACCACATGGTAAAAAGCGTTAAGTACTCGGAGAGAGCTTTGCCTGTCAATTTGTAGGCAGCGCCAACCAGAATACAATGCACCATCATAGCAACGCTGGTGGCGCTACCTATGAATTGACAGGCAAAGCTCTCTCCGAATACTTAACGATTTTTATCATGCGGTAAGCATTCTGAGAAAACATACTACTGTATGTTTTCTGTGCCGCGAGTCATACCAATGATCACGCCGCGACCGCAGAGTCCTGGTTGACGGTATTAAAAGTTTTTGTTTATTGTGTATTTTTACTCATTATTGTTTTTTTAACAGTGGATATTAGTTTTGTCATTATTGCTATCTGCAAGACTATTAAATCAAGTTTTTGTAAACAAGCTCTTTTGCAAGGGAAAATCCCGTCCTGTTCTTTTCCGAAAATCGGGCAGATGTCTGTTCTATTAGAATATCCATAGTCATCTAACAAAATTTTTAACAGGGAGGCCTGACTTATTTCTTTATAAGCTTAAGTTGTGATGTGACGTATAATCTCATAAGACAGAGTGCTTATGAAAGATAATCTGATCAAGAGTATAATTAATCTTGGTGATGATTCCTGATCAACAGAAACAAAAATGTCTTGTATTTAATTGTATTTTATTGTAAAAATGGGATTTGTGTGTAGAAACAATTCTTTGACATTTTTAATATAACTTTTTTTCTATTTGAAATTTTACAGATGTATTCCCAAGTAATCAAGATCGAAGATTCATATAATACCGCCAATGTGGAAAAGGACAAGGTAGACATTGTCGACCTTCAGACTAAATTAATGAACTCAATCGCATGTGAGGGGAATGAAAGAAAACTGGCTCAGATTATGTCAGTTAAGAAAGGAAAAGTAAGTCTAAATAATTAACATATCTTAAGGACTGTTCACACCGGCGTAGCCAGACGTATTAATACTTTTTCGAAATACGTAGCTGACGTAGCTCTTAATGTAATTCATAGAGAGTGTTCACACCGGCGTATTAATACGTGAGCTACGGCGCTGCCGCTACGCCGGCTAGCTACGCGTAGCTCACATAGCTGAATACGTGCATGCGCACTAGCACACTGGGCTGTCACTGCCACCCTACCTCCTTTTTATAATTAATTTATAAGTGGTAAATGTTGGACTATAACGAGGGGTCTGCAGTACGGAAAATTTAAGGTCAGTACGGTTCAGTACGGTACAATATTTTGTACCTCAGTTCTTGGTACAAAATCGGTACGGTACATGGCTACCCGTATTTTTGCGGTTTTCTGCGCAGAACTGTATTTAAACCATTATTTTTTACTTTAATACATTGACATTACGATGAAAATGGATAGTATCCTACATTCATGGTCTTCTAAAAACAGTTACTGTACCACACATTATTAAAACAAAACCTTTTACTACTACGAGGATTGTGTCAAGAAAAATCACAGTTAAGATAAAGGCTTTACCTATTTTACTCTCAGATACTTTAAATAGCCATTATAAAAGTGGTTTTAAATAGGTGGTAGGATAACCAACGGAAGTCACATAGAACATCCAGGGTGTCTAGTAGTCGGGAAAATCGGGAAAGTCGGGAATTAGTATTGAATTTCAAAATGGTCTTGAAAAGTCGGGATTTAGTCTTAAATTTAATTTCAAAGTCGGGAATTTTCATGATTTTGCCGCGATCGTCGTCTTGCGTTTACGTAACCGCAAAAGCCGATGATGATGTCTACAGGGCCTCGGGAAACGTTCACGATTTTGCCGCGATAGTGGACGACGACGATGACGTTTCCGAAACCACGAGAGACGACGATGACGTTTCTGTGACAGCGGGAGATTACGATAACGTTTCCGTGACCGCGGGAGACGACGATGATGCCTACACTGCCGCGGGAAAGGTTCATGATTTTGCCCTGATTGCGGACGACGACGATAACGTTTCCGTGACCGCGGGAGATGACGGTGATGTCTAAACAGCCGCGGGAAATGTTCATGATTTTGTCGCGATCGCGGACGACGACGATGACGTTTCCGTGACCGCGGGAGACGACGATGATATCTGCTCGGCCGCGGGAAATGTTTATGATTTTGTAACGATCGCGGACGACGACGATGACGTTTCCGTGACCGCGGGAGATGACGATGACGTTCCTGTGACCGCGGGAGACGACGATGATGTCTACACGGCCGCGGGAAATGTCCATGATTTTGCCGCGATCGCGGACGACGACGATAACGTTTCCGTGACCGCGGGAGATGACGGTGATGTCTAAACAGCCGCGGGAAATGTTCATGATTTTGCCGCAATCGCGGACGACGACGATGACGTTTCCGTGACCGCGGGAGACGACGATGATATCTGCTCGGCCGCGGGAAATGTTATGATTTTGTAACGATCGCGGACGACGACGATGACGTTTCCGTGACCGCGGGAGATGACGATTACGTTTCTGTGACCGCGGGAGACGACGATGATGTCTACACGGCCGCGGGAAATGTCCATGATTTTGCCGCGATCGCGGACGACGACGATAATGTTTCCGTGACCGCGGGAGATGACGGTGATGTCTAAACAGCCGCGGGAAATGTTCATGATTTTGCCGCGATCGAGGGAGATGACGATGACGTTTACGTGACCGCAGGAGACGACGATGATGTCTGCTCGGCCGCGGGAAATGTTCATGATTTTGTCGCGATCGCGGACGACGACGATGACGTTTCCGTGACCGCGGGAGACGACGATGACGTTTCCGTGACCGCGGGAGACGACGATGACGTTTCCGTGACCGCGGGAGACGACGATGACGTTTCCGTGACCGCGGGAGACGACGATGATGTCTACACGGCCGCGGGAAATGTTCATGATTTTGCCGCGATCGCGGACGATGGCGATGCCGTTTCTGAGACCTCGGGACATGACGATGATGTCATTGATGTCTACAAGGCCGCGGGAAATGTTCATGATTTTGCTGTGATCGCGGACGACGACGATCACGTTTCTGTAACCGCTGCAGTGATGATGTCTAAACGTACGGTACGTGGAAGATTTTATGATAAAAAAAAACCAAATTTGCTAGTTAGAACTTTTTATTGCTGCATTATTTCTTTACTTGAAAACACCACATTGTTATAATACTACTTTATGACAAAGACAGGGGTTGGTGTAGTATTATTCAGAAAATTAGGTATAAATAATTTGCTATAAAAATTGGTATCGGTATCAAGAATTGAGAATTGATACAGTTTGGTATCAACACCCACTAAGTGTTGAAAAAACTAGTCTTGAAAAATCTGGAATTAGTCTTGAAAAGTCTGGAATTAGTCTTGAATTTTATAATGGAAATAAACTAGACACCCTGAACATCTTTAGTTTAACCCTCCGAGTGTCACGTGTTTTGGCCTTAATGTCAGCCTATTTTTTGCTCATTTGCAAGGTTTTATTAAAACTGATCTGAGAAGCTTAAAAACAATGTTAATTATACTGTTCTATATACCATTTTGTTTGGAAAATCTTGGGCTTCAATATTATATATAAAACATAAGGAAGATTTAAAAAAAAAAAATTTTTTTAGGTAAAAAAATGTATAATTTCGAAAATTTTAAAAAAAAAATAAGTTTGCGCTCAATGAAATTGTATAAATTATAGGCCTATAAATATTTGAAAATAGCCACTTTGTTCTAAATTTTATGAGGATTACAAATCTATAATAATATAAGGAAGTAGATTTGCAAATAAAAAAGTTATGGGCAAAAAACAGATTTCAGTACATAGCGTTTAGCTAAGAATGCATAGCCCAACCATAGCTAGGAATCTGGCTGATAATTTACATCAATATTACTACCTACTTCTTCAGGATCATCAACCAGCACTTCAAAACCACTTAAATCTTCTTATAATGCACCACGTATATCACTACTTTTGATTTTTAACACTAAAACAATGATAAACGTAATAAAACACATCAGTCATCGGTCCGAGGGTAACCTAGCTGTTTACAAATACACGCACGTCAGCTCAGTCAGCTGTCTGTTACAATATTTTCGGAACTAAAATGAATAGTGCTTAGAGACAGACCTCTGCAGAAAGCTTAGAATATTACGGACAGAACGATACCTAACTCAATCCAGTACAGTCCGATTCAGTTAGTCATAGAGCCTTCGCCGTAAACAGTGTTCGCGAGTCGCTGCAGCGACGCACGACACTATACAAAGTGCGTTACGCGTCGCTGCAGCGACGCATGACACTCGGAGGGTTAAGGTAAAAAAAAACTTGAAGTGTTTTCCTTTAAAACAACACCAAAACCAGCTCTGTACCTTGTTTAATAAGATTTATATGAATTTTCAAAGTTGTAAAGTCCTTTTTGAATTACCCTGTATTTAGATTTCATAAAGTACCTTCAACACAATAAAAAATACAGGAAACTAAAAAACATTTAAGCCTTAATCAGCCACATCTAACAATATAAGACAAGATACAGAACATGCAATGACATAATTTGAGACCGAGTGGGCATGAATAAAGAAAAAAATATATGCAAACAACAACTATGCTTGTGGTTTTGTCAATAGAAAGATAAAATATCTATAACAAATATTTTAACTTATAAAATAAGATTGTAGATTAGTTACAAGTTTAGTATATAGCCATAAACAGTTTTATGGCAGTAGGCATTGGCCAGCGGCAAATTGAATATTCACGAAAATACTGACTGAGTTAGAGATAACATTTAACAGTCATCATAAAACTATTATTTTTATGATAAAATAGAATTGGGGAAAGTCGTAAAGAAATAAAAGTGATAAAACTCAACAGTTCTTGGAAGTACTTGAATACAACAATTATTGTCCTGATAAAATGTTATTGTCACATAAAATGTTATAAAATGTTAATGGATCTGGGACTGCTAATGGGTTTTTTATTGCATCATCACCCTAGTAATAAATTATGAAGATCGTAAACAAACATCTGATAAGACTTTTATGTGCTGGGAACCAACTGTCGTTGACTGCGATATAGTCCAGGAGCTGAGGAGGTTTGAGCATGCATGAAAGTAGTACGCAATGTTATTGCTGATTATTGTAATATGGACTGTGGTGATCAAAATTACGTATGTCGCCTATTTCAAAAGTGGTCGATAAGGTGGGGGGGGGGGGGGAGGGGGCAAACATGGCGGTTTGCGCTATGCGTGAAAACGGTAAAAGATAGAACATCGGTTAAAACGTCGTAATTCTAAAAATGTGGACTACAATAATGGTTATTGAGTCCGAGGTCGTATCTATAAATAAACAAGTTATTGTATAAAATATGTAAAAATGGACTTTACGTGTAGTTTTTTTACCGAAAGTAGAATTAGTTTGTGAGTGTCGCAAAGAAGTAATATCAAATATCTTTGCTGATAGTTGTAATATGGACTGTGGTGATAAAAAATATGCATGCCGCCTACTTTTCAGGTGGTCGAGAACTTGGGGGGAGGGGGGCAAAGATGGCGGAACGCGCTATGCATTGAAACGACTGTACCTCGATAACGGTACGAGATAGGACATCGGTTAAAACATAGTTTTGATCCAAAAAATATGGCCAATAGAAAAGGTTATTGGGTAAAAAGTTGTATCTTAACTAATAAAAAAGTTATAACAATAATAAGTTTAACAAAATCTACATTATACAGCTATTTTCTTCAAAAATCATATGGATTGTTGATAAAAAAATAGTGTAATTACTTAATTACTCGGCTAAATATTAACCAGATGCATTTTCTTATAAGAAAAAAAATATATTATTACGAATACATATAGTTTAAAATGTAAAACACGGCCTCCAAACGCCTTGGGGTTCGTCCGATAGGTTGCGTCATAATTGCTGTGCAGTGCTGCTG